ATGACTGAAAAAATTCTGAACACTAACTTACGTAGAATTTAATTTGATCAAAATTAAATCCATAAATGAAGCATCCTTGAAATCACTTCTCAAAGGTTCAATTTTATGCGTTAACCTTGGTTTTACTTTCAATTTTACCTTCACCTTTAATCAAAAAATAATCACTTATCACATTATCAAATTTTGCGTCATTTATGCAAGAATACTTTTAAATAAAATTAAATCATAAATTCAGTCAGTTCAATGCTTGACTTAGATTACGAGTTAATTTCAAGGCAATGAACACTAAACACGTAAGTGAGTGAAATAAAATAAGAACATGTTAACAATAGCTATAAAATGCTAATAATTTGTAATTCATTAATTAAATTAATATGAATTAATGACTAAGTAAGTCAGTCATTTCAAAAATAACATTTAAATATTAGAAATGCATCATTTTCAGAACAGACATATAAGCGAGGTAGTAATTGATGTTCTTTATTGGTAGGAACCAGGAACCGGTTTAATTCAACAACTGAAATTATTCCAAATTGAAGTCAAATCTTTGTTAGTTATAACAAGTCCCGACAATGAAAATACCGCATGTACCAGAAGCAAATTTAATCACAATTACTCCAAGGTTATCTATTTTGATTCCTGTGTTCATAACTGTCACACTCTCATTTCATTTGGACCTGAAATTATTTCACCGAAAAGAATTTAATTTGTAATAAATTGCCGAAATGATCCATGAAATATTTCCATTCATTCATTCATTCATTCACTCATTCATTTAATTCACTTAATTTAGAAAAAATTTTTGAGTTCAATTTCAAATAAGCCTTGGTTGGTTTTACAATGTACGCCAATGTTTTGGTTTATTTCGTTTTTTAAAAATGGTTCCCAAGTTGTTTTCCCATTTATATCTCTAATTTTTGAGAGATTAGTTATTTTCGGTAGTTTATAATTACTTCATATACTACTGGATCAATTTTAAGCAACCAAAAAAAATTGCGGGAATTTTTTTAAGTTTAATTAGAAACCAATTGTGTTCAAAATTCAGCACATTTATAATCTTATTCACATGGTTATTTTTGAGATTCTCTAAACCTTTGTCTTTTCAGTTTTTGTTAAGGTTTTGCCTACCCTAATTGATACCATGGTCGGTAGAGCAAATGAATAGCTATTTTTAATAATAATAATTTAACATAGTAAATATAACCATATTCACCGTGTGATGAAGAAAGTGTACAAAAATAAAGCATAGAAAATGGTTAGGGAAGTTGGATGATATACAAGCAGGATAAAGTTGAGCCTTAAATGCTCAAAAGGTCTTCTTTGTTAGTCATAATCATAGGTTGCAAGTAATGTACCACAACAAATCCTTTTTTGGACGATTCAATTTGCCGAAATTGCAGCAGTGATGAGCTAGCAGAGGCAGAGGTCATTCATTACTAAGTAATTTACTGACCTTTAATTCAGATTACTGACACAGTAGCATTCAAAGCTGTAATTACAGTGATATGTTTGAAGGAGCTTATTACCATTTAATCTAATACACAAGAATGTGCAATTATATATATTTTCACTTTCTAATCTTGATAAAATCAATGATGAACTCGCAGAAATCATTTATTGATAAAATTTAATTAAATTAAAACTGACAATTTCTGTAATTTGTGTAAAAATTTATGAGATATTAAA